GCTCCATTGGTGAGGTGTATTGCGAGATACCATGCCTTTTTGGACCTCATGAGTCAAAATCCGGCCTTGTTCCTGGTACCCACCTTGGTATGTCGACAATTATGATACGAAAGAGAGAACTAATTTACTGTCTCAGGATATTGTAAGCACCAACAATACTCTGGGTCCCATTTACTCAACCGTATGACTTGCAGGATCTTGCATGGCACACACACCAATTAAAGGGTGATCAATACAGACTTGACACTCAAACCTACCTCCAGCGCACTCCCAATCATGATGATAACGTAGAGGCGACTTCACTCTCGATTGCATATGACATCACAGCCAAAGCGTGGAAGGACCGTTTCGGCGTACCGTATTCAGTCTGCGGCTGTATTCCCGATCGTGTGCCAGGAAATCGTCTCAGTCGATTTATCTCAGGACTATCGATCTTTGACCATAAGCGTGAAAAGTCAGATAACAGTATCGAGGACACCTTAGTTAATACGCGTCCCGATTTGGTCACAACTGAAGATCATGAGGCCGACACATCTCACCCCTCCGAGCACAATGTGTACTTTGGTGACCCAAATAATGAAAAAACCAAATCGAGGAATACAAAACGGGAGAGAAAGTCTATTAGGTGTGTTGCAAACGTAAAGAAATCAGGTGACAGGGACCAGTGGAGAGCTCTGCAAGCCGAAAGAGCGGAAAAGACTCAGCTCGCATTGTTGGATGACAATGATGGAAATAAGAGGCATAAAGAGGCATTCACAGATACTCGCCATGGGTATGATCATTATTACGCCTATTGGGGAGTGTCTGCTGCTATTCCGCTCGGGTAAAATACTCCGTATGGATCAAGCTACTATCTATTCTAATCAATACCTCGTTAGGTTCTACGGTGGATATGCATATGGAGGAGGTGTGGGAGGCTGCGGTTCGGGTTGTGGCTCGGCTGGATGTCATGGCGGACCATGCAGAAGCGCTTGCGGTGATGGCGGTGGTAGTACTGGTGGCGGCGGCGGCGGTGGATGTGGTGGAGGTGGTGGGTGTGGTGGTGAGTGATTGATTCATACCAGCATCTTGATAAATTCTAATGACCTATCTACCAGGAGGATAAACACTATCGTCTCTTTGCAAGAGGCTGGCTGCGAACTGTCCCGACACGGTGAGCAAGCTGTGATTTCGGAAAATGAGGAGTAGCGGAAAAGTAGGTCCGCAGAGCCCATTTTCGACTCGAAATCGGGTGATTATTTCTTCTAGGATACCGTCTCGATTCCTTTCAAAATACCACGCTTTAAATGGGTATCATATCTCAAAAGCCCTTGCAGCCGCTCTTGATGCCCTGACAAAAATGATTAATCCTTGCTTATCATTGATAATTAGTTGTTATGATGAGACGTTAAAAGGGGCTGTGCCGACTTACTTTTCAACCTACTCCTCATTTTCCGGAATTGCAGCTTGCCCACCGTGCGACTTGTGAACACTGGAGCCTATGCTAAGTTTGGCAATCTCTTTTTTGGGGAAATTCGATAGGGCGTGTATTTCAAGGTTCATATCTCAAGTCTATGAAAGACATGCATTGACTATTACCGTGTTACAACTTGAAGGGGCTGGATGAATATGAGCAGCTATCGCGGAAATGGATATACGCTAGAGCAGATCAACTTTTTGCAGGCTTTCCTTGGTTAAGTCCAAAACTTACGAGATTTATGAATTCGGCTCAGGATTAATTTCATTTCACTTCGAGGTCGAGCCTTGAAATCTTCGGGCAAAGGTACCACTCGTCAATATCTCAGCAGTCAATTAAAGATCAGTAGCCTGTTTGGCTTTCCTAGACTCATGTGACTATATTCATTGGCAAGCGGAGCATGGAGTCCAACTAACTCTCTTACAGGCTGTATCCTACTCCCAGAGCATTCTATAACGTTCATCGCTGATCGAAATGAAATCTCTGTCCAATGGAACCAAACCTTCTTTCAATAATGTACCAAAAAATGTTTTGAACCATCTGGCATCCGCTTCAAGAACCTCTGCTGACTTATCAAAGTAAAGTCTCGTTAGGAGCCAGGTCCATCTCCTCTCGAATATAACCTCTGCGAAGTTCCACTCGTTCACGTAGACTATGAGCTGAAGTGCCGATTCCTCAGGATCATGTGCAGGTAGGTAAGTTGAATCCCTGAGTAGTAAAGTACGTGACCTGAGTGGTGGGCCAAACGGTGTTGCTATTTGACTCCGGTGATGAGTCTCGAGTTTCGAGATGACGGCCTCCAAAAGTGTACCGTACAGAGATAGGTTGGGGAAATAGTGGTCTGGTGGTATCCCACCACAGGGTACCAATTTGTTTCTCTGTGTATCGAGGTAGGTGGAGTTGTCGACATACTCCCTCACTGTCCGACCCCATAGCGAAAGGAATGGGTCCATATATTCTTTATCTATATAGAAACCTCCATGTATTATGATAGTCTCTAATTGGAGGGCTGCACACTCGAGGGGCCGTTTCAAATCCGTGTCTATCCTCGTTCGGGGGGACGAGAAAGACAAGTCAAGATACCGTAGACAAGGAAGACTGCAGTGCCCTTCGGAGAAGTAGGTAGCAAAGTCGTTCCAGTAAATTGAATGGAGCGCGAGGTGCGTTAAGCGCGATTGGCCCGACAAAATGGAAAGGAGAGTGGCGAGAGGACGATATGAGTTGGATAACCCTAGGCAGAGTGCTTGCAGGCGGGGCATGAGATCAAACATTTCTTTTCGATGAAAGTAGTGGTTGGGGTAACTGAAAATTCGAACTTGACTCATAAATTCACCTATCCTTTCGTCTTTTAAATCTTTCCACCACTCCCAGCCCATTTCGCCATGTGATGAAGGGGAGACATACGAGAGTATGCAGTCTTGAATATCTTCAGGATCGAGACAGCTGAGCAAATCACAGCCGCACTGGCCATATTCACACAGCGCACATTGACGAGTTGTTGGGAATGAAAACCGGCTAAACACTGAGTCGGCATGGACAGTTCTCAATTGAAAATACGGTTGGTTTTTTTTGAGAGAAACAGCTCCACTAATTCTCCCCGCTTGCCATTCAATTGACTGAAAACTAGGCGGAACATGGGCTCCAAAGTTCGACTATTCTCCTCCAGAAACCAATCCGAATTCAAGTCAAAAACCCTAAATGCCGACTCGGTATTTGGCTGGTTTTCATTACCAACAACTCGTCAATTTACGCAGTGTCAGCGAAGTGAAGTCGCTCTACTCCTTTCAGTATTAGGGTGTCTCTTCTTGGGTAGCTGACTTTGTTTTGAATCGTAACTACACAGCGATTCAGGGCCCGTGCAGGTAATATTGATGTCCATATTCGACATACAAGTCGCAGTGACTTGATGGCATTTTCCATATCTCGACATTTTTTATACACGTCGCAAGATTCAGACCAGCAAAAGAGATCAATTGTTCGAATAACGCTAGTGCTAAGGTGTTTATGTGCCTCATCGACAAAAGGGAGAAGTGGGGTCGCGATTGCATGATGTAAAATCAAGGTCCAAACCTCAATAGGAGTACGCTGAACTGCAGATTCGGTCATATTTGAAATGTTTATGAGGGTCTATCGTTCGATTGGGTGCTTTTTGAAAATTTACTCGGGTGGTCGGAAGGAAGGCTTCTGAGCGCCACAAAGACTGCGGCGGCTAACCTTGGGCACCCGCCTATCGATCCCCTTGCCTTTGAATTGTGAACCACGAAACAGATCTATCGTACTCAAACGATTATAAGATATAGGATGCGTCAGAAGCAGCCCGTAACACCAGCTATCATGGTGCAAACGAAATTTTTTGATTGACATAGACGTGAAAGGCACATCAAAATCATAAACTAGTGTCACTAAACCAAGGTAAGCCAAGGTAAACCAAGGTATGCTTAAGAACTTCGATTCTATCATCAATTACTGATAATGTATTCGCTACATTTCCATATCTAGGCCTTTCTTTTGTACGTGAACTCAAACCCTTCTTTTTCGATTTCCCGGGAAAAAAACTCGGCCCAAAGCTCGACTAAGGCTGGAGAAGGTGGGTCATCAAATATTGCAAAGCTAAGGGCGTTTTGTCTGTCCAGAGCATCCTCCACCAACAGTACCTCGTTGAATCCCAAAGCTCTCATATACGCTCTTAATCTAGAGGCAGCTTCTTCGGGCCCTAGCGAATCTCTCGGGCAAAACCCTTCGAGAATCAGGAGCCGATGCCGGTTTCCAGGATTAAATGATGACTCCTTTCCTGGGGTAGTCAAATCCCCTTCAATTAAGAATGAAAAGCATGTGCCGTAGGTAGAAAGGTAAGGGAAATGATCCTGAAATGGTATTGAGGACGGCTCGTGAAATTCTCGATAAGGGCCAAAGTCAATGAATTCCGTAACCGTTTGTCCGCATTTGCCAATAAATGACTTGAAATCCTCTCTGGTATTCTCTTCGACAGAGCCTCTAAAGATTAAACTGTCTAATTGAGAGATGGACCAATCAACCCTCTCATCTTGTGAGGAGATCGAGTTTCGAGGAGAGTTGGTGAAATTTATATCCAGATATCGGAGTGAGAGAAATCTTGGTCCCTTCACACTAAAGTATTCAGCAAATTGCTTCCATTTTATGTCCGAGAGCGATAAGTGCGTAAGGTGAGGATGATGAGATATATATGTGGAGGGCATGGAAATGATTCCAAATCTTGAATTCATAGACAGACTAAAAGCCCTCAATCCTGGCATCAGATCCAGGAAGCGCTTCAGGTCAATGCTCAAATGCCGAATGACCAAGATTCGAACATTGGCTAGTATTTCTTTCAGTTGCTCGTTGTCAAAATCCCTCCACCAAGGGATTTCGGAAGGTGCACCAGTGTCAAGGGGAGGGTAACTGAAAGTGCCTTTTCGGAAGGAATACAGCCGATTATAGGGTCCAAAGGCCACAATTTGCAGCCTTCTAGCTCGCTCCAATGATCCCATACTTTTCCCGGGGAGGTTGAAGGTGTTGAGGTTGGTCATTACGCATCGATTACGAGAATTTGCTAATATAGCCGCCCAGGTCCGACACACAAGTCGGAGATTGTTGATATTCTTCTCCATGACCTTTACATCATAATATATATCTCCATCTTCTGCAAAAAGCTTGTCATTTTGAAGGATACCTGAGCCAAGTTTGTTGTACGACCCATCGATGAAAGGGAGAATGGCTGCTGTCGTAGCTTGGTGGAATATTAGGATCCATATGTCGACAGGAGTACGGTGTATAGCAGATTTTATCATGAAGAATATGGATTTGTGGGGCTGACTAGTGGCTGAATGATATGGCAAGGTGCAACCGTCGTGAATGGCACATCCAGAATCTTGCCGGGCTCAGGATGTCGAGTCAGTTCGATCAGTCGCCTGGCATCGATTTGATTCTATGCATAATTCAAACGGAATTATAGTGGAAGGAGATTGTGATTGATTATTTTAATATGCTAGAGACTTCAGAATAGAGAAGATCCTAAAGGGATATAACTCGAGAGCAAGGGAGAATTTCGATTCTATCATTGGTTATTGATAAACCATCTACTAAATCTCTGTATCTACGACTGATTTCTGTATGTGAACTTGAAACCTTCTTGTTCGAGCCCCTGAGAAAAACTCTCGGTCCAGTGCTTGAATAAAGATGGAGGAGGCGGGCCTCGATATATATGAAAACTCAGGCTATTTTTCCGGTCAAGGGGCTCCTCCACCAACACTACCTCATTGAATCCCAAATCCCTCATATATTGTCCTAATTTGGAGGCTGCACCTTCGGGCTCTATAGTATATCTAGGGCCAAACCCATCGAGAATCAAGAGCCGTGGGGAGGGTTGGGCTGAGAGATTAGATGAGACATCCACTGCTGAGGTACTGAACTCCTCACAAGACCAGAAAATTGATTGGACCATCCCTCGACTGTACAGTCTAATCCTTCGAGGTTCTGTACATGCTAGTACTAGAGAGACCCTAAAGTCATTCCTTGGCAAATGTGGACAAACAGTCAGAGAATTCATTGACTATGGCCCTTATCGAACTTTTAGCGCACGTTCCCTCATACCATTCAAGGATCACTTTCCTCACCTTTTGACCTACGGGACATGCTTTTCGTTTATTGTTGAAGAGTATTTCAGTACCTCAGCAGTGGATGTCTCATCTAATCTCTCAGCCCAACCCTCCCCACGGCTCTTGATTCTCGATGGGTTTGGCCCTAGATATACTATAGAGCCCGAAGGTGCAGCCTCCAAATTAGGACAATATATGAGGGATTTGGGATTCAATGAGGTAGTGTTGGTGGAGGAGCCCCTTGACCGGAAAAATAGCCTGAGTTTTCATATATATCGAGGCCCGCCTCCTCCATCTTTATTCAAGCACTGGACCGAGAGTTTTTCTCAGGGGCTCGAACAAGAAGGTTTCAAGTTCACATACAGAAATCAGTCGTAGATACAGAGATTTAGTAGATGGTTTATCAATAACCAATGATAGAATCGAAATTCTCCCTTGCTCTCGAGTTATATCCCTTTAGGATCTTCTCTATTCTGAAGTCTCTAGCATATTAAAATAATCAATCACAATCTCCTTCCACTATAATTCCGTTTGAATTATGCATAGAATCAAATCGATGCCAGGCGACTGATCGAACTGACTCGACATCCTGAGCCCGGCAAGATTCTGGATGTGCCATTCACGACGGTTGCACCTTGCCATATCATTCAGCCACTAGTCAGCCCCACAAATCCATATTCTTCATGATAAAATCTGCTATACACCGTACTCCTGTCGACATATGGATCCTAATATTCCACCAAGCTACGACAGCAGCCATTCTCCCTTTCATCGATGGGTCGTACAACAAACTTGGCTCAGGTATCCTTCAAAATGACAAGCTTTTTGCAGAAGATGGAGATATATATTATGATGTAAAGGTCATGGAGAAGAATATCAACAATCTCCGACTTGTGTGTCGGACCTGGGCGGCTATATTAGCAAATTCTCGTAATCGATGCGTAATGACCAACCTCAACACCTTCAACCTCCCCGGGAAAAGTATGGGATCATTGGAGCGAGCTAGAAGGCTGCAAATTGTGGCCTTTGGACCCTATAATCGGCTGTATTCCTTCCGAAAAGGCACTTTCAGTTACCCTCCCCTTGACACTGGTGCACCTTCCGAAATCCCTTGGTGGAGGGATTTTGACAACGAGCAACTGAAAGAAATACTAGCCAATGTTCGAATCTTGGTCATTCGGCATTTGAGCATTGACCTGAAGCGCTTCCTGGATCTGATGCCAGGATTGAGGGCTTTTAGTCTGTCTATGAATTCAAGATTTGGAATCATTTCCATGCCCTCCACATATATATCTCATCATCCTCACCTTACGCACTTATCGCTCTCGGACATAAAATGGAAGCAATTTGCTGAATACTTTAGTGTGAAGGGACCAAGATTTCTCTCACTCCGATATCTGGATATAAATTTCACCAACTCTCCTCGAAACTCGATCTCCTCACAAGATGAGAGGGTTGATTGGTCCATCTCTCAATTAGACAGTTTAATCTTTAGAGGCTCTGTCGAAGAGAATACCAGAGAGGATTTCAAGTCATTTATTGGCAAATGCGGACAAACGGTTACGGAATTCATTGACTTTGGCCCTTATCGAGAATTTCACGAGCCGTCCTCAATACCATTTCAGGATCATTTCCCTTACCTTTCTACCTACGGCACATGCTTTTCATTCTTAATTGAAGGGGATTTGACTACCCCAGGAAAGGAGTCATCATTTAATCCTGGAAACCGGCATCGGCTCCTGATTCTCGAAGGGTTTTGCCCGAGAGATTCGCTAGGGCCCGAAGAAGCTGCCTCTAGATTAAGAGCGTATATGAGAGCTTTGGGATTCAACGAGGTACTGTTGGTGGAGGATGCTCTGGACAGACAAAACGCCCTTAGCTTTGCAATATTTGATGACCCACCTTCTCCAGCCTTAGTCGAGCTTTGGGCCGAGTTTTTTTCCCGGGAAATCGAAAAAGAAGGGTTTGAGTTCACGTACAAAAGAAAGGCCTAGATATGGAAATGTAGCGAATACATTATCAGTAATTGATGATAGAATCGAAGTTCTTAAGCATACCTTGGTTTACCTTGGCTTACCTTGGTTTAGTGACACTAGTTTATGATTTTGATGTGCCTTTCACGTCTATGTCAATCAAAAAATTTCGTTTGCACCATGATAGCTGGTGTTACGGGCTGCTTCTGACGCATCCTATATCTTATAATCGTTTGAGTACGATAGATCTGTTTCGTGGTTCACAATTCAAAGGCAAGGGGATCGATAGGCGGGTGCCCAAGGTTAGCCGCCGCAGTCTTTGTGGCGCTCAGAAGCCTTCCTTCCGACCACCCGAGTAAATTTTCAAAAAGCACCCAATCGAACGATAGACCCTCATAAACATTTCAAATATGACCGAATCTGCAGTTCAGCGTACTCCTATTGAGGTTTGGACCTTGATTTTACATCATGCAATCGCGACCCCACTTCTCCCTTTTGTCGATGAGGCACATAAACACCTTAGCACTAGCGTTATTCGAACAATTGATCTCTTTTGCTGGTCTGAATCTTGCGACGTGTATAAAAAATGTCGAGATATGGAAAATGCCATCAAGTCACTGCGACTTGTATGTCGAATATGGACATCAATATTACCTGCACGGGCCCTGAATCGCTGTGTAGTTACGATTCAAAACAAAGTCAGCTACCCAAGAAGAGACACCCTAATACTGAAAGGAGTAGAGCGACTTCACTTCGCTGACACTGCGTAAATTGACGAGTTGTTGGTAATGAAAACCAGCCAAATACCGAGTCGGCATTTAGGGTTTTTGACTTGAATTCGGATTGGTTTCTGGAGGAGAATAGTCGAACTTTGGAGCCCATGTTCCGCCTAGTTTTCAGTCAATTGAATGGCAAGCGGGGAGAATTAGTGGAGCTGTTTCTCTCAAAAAAAACCAACCGTATTTTCAATTGAGAACTGTCCATGCCGACTCAGTGTTTAGCCGGTTTTCATTCCCAACAACTCGTCAATGTGCGCTGTGTGAATATGGCCAGTGCGGCTGTGATTTGCTCAGCTGTCTCGATCCTGAAGATATTCAAGACTGCATACTCTCGTATGTCTCCCCTTCATCACATGGCGAAATGGGCTGGGAGTGGTGGAAAGATTTAAAAGACGAAAGGATAGGTGAATTTATGAGTCAAGTTCGAATTTTCAGTTACCCCAACCACTACTTTCATCGAAAAGAAATGTTTGATCTCATGCCCCGCCTGCAAGCACTCTGCCTAGGGTTATCCAACTCATATCGTCCTCTCGCCACTCTCCTTTCCATTTTGTCGGGCCAATCGCGCTTAACGCACCTCGCGCTCCATTCAATTTACTGGAACGACTTTGCTACCTACTTCTCCGAAGGGCACTGCAGTCTTCCTTGTCTACGGTATCTTGACTTGTCTTTCTCGTCCCCCCGAACGAGGATAGACACGGATTTGAAACGGCCCCTCGAGTGTGCAGCCCTCCAATTAGAGACTATCATAATACATGGAGGTTTCTATATAGATAAAGAATATATGGACCCATTCCTTTCGCTATGGGGTCGGACAGTGAGGGAGTATGTCGACAACTCCACCTACCTCGATACACAGAGAAACAAATTGGTACCCTGTGGTGGGATACCACCAGACCACTATTTCCCCAACCTATCTCTGTACGGTACACTTTTGGAGGCCGTCATCTCGAAACTCGAGACTCATCACCGGAGTCAAATAGCAACACCGTTTGGCCCACCACTCAGGTCACGTACTTTACTACTCAGGGATTCAACTTACCTACCTGCACATGATCCTGAGGAATCGGCACTTCAGCTCATAGTCTACGTGAACGAGTGGAACTTCGCAGAGGTTATATTCGAGAGGAGATGGACCTGGCTCCTAACGAGACTTTACTTTGATAAGTCAGCAGAGGTTCTTGAAGCGGATGCCAGATGGTTCAAAACATTTTTTGGTACATTATTGAAAGAAGGTTTGGTTCCATTGGACAGAGATTTCATTTCGATCAGCGATGAACGTTATAGAATGCTCTGGGAGTAGGATACAGCCTGTAAGAGAGTTAGTTGGACTCCATGCTCCGCTTGCCAATGAATATAGTCACATGAGTCTAGGAAAGCCAAACAGGCTACTGATCTTTAATTGACTGCTGAGATATTGACGAGTGGTACCTTTGCCCGAAGATTTCAAGGCTCGACCTCGAAGTGAAATGAAATTAATCCTGAGCCGAATTCATAAATCTCGTAAGTTTTGGACTTAACCAAGGAAAGCCTGCAAAAAGTTGATCTGCTCTAGCGTATATCCATTTCCGCGATAGCTGCTCATATTCATCCAGCCCCTTCAAGTTGTAACACGGTAATAGTCAATGCATGTCTTTCATAGACTTGAGATATGAACCTTGAAATACACGCCCTATCGAATTTCCCCAAAAAAGAGATTGCCAAACTTAGCATAGGCTCCAGTGTTCACAAGTCGCACGGTGGGCAAGCTGCAATTCCGGAAAATGAGGAGTAGGTTGAAAAGTAAGTCGGCACAGCCCCTTTTAACGTCTCATCATAACAACTAATTATCAATGATAAGCAAGGATTAATCATTTTTGTCAGGGCATCAAGAGCGGCTGCAAGGGCTTTTGAGATATGATACCCATTTAAAGCGTGGTATTTTGAAAGGAATCGAGACGGTATCCTAGAAGAAATAATCACCCGATTTCGAGTCGAAAATGGGCTCTGCGGACCTACTTTTCCGCTACTCCTCATTTTCCGAAATCACAGCTTGCTCACCGTGTCGGGACAGTTCGCAGCCAGCCTCTTGCAAAGAGACGATAGTGTTTATCCTCCTGGTAGATAGGTCATTAGAATTTATCAAGATGCTGGTATGAATCAATCACTCACCACCACACCCACCACCTCCACCACATCCACCGCCGCCGCCGCCACCAGTACTACCACCGCCATCACCGCAAGCGCTTCTGCATGGTCCGCCATGACATCCAGCCGAGCCACAACCCGAACCGCAGCCTCCCACACCTCCTCCATATGCATATCCACCGTAGAACCTAACGAGGTATTGATTAGAATAGATAGTAGCTTGATCCATACGGAGTATTTTACCCGAGCGGAATAGCAGCAGACACTCCCCAATAGGCGTAATAATGATCATACCCATGGCGAGTATCTGTGAATGCCTCTTTATGCCTCTTATTTCCATCATTGTCATCCAACAATGCGAGCTGAGTCTTTTCCGCTCTTTCGGCTTGCAGAGCTCTCCACTGGTCCCTGTCACCTGATTTCTTTACGTTTGCAACACACCTAATAGACTTTCTCTCCCGTTTTGTATTCCTCGATTTGGTTTTTTCATTATTTGGGTCACCAAAGTACACATTGTGCTCGGAGGGGTGAGATGTGTCGGCCTCATGATCTTCAGTTGTGACCAAATCGGGACGCGTATTAACTAAGGTGTCCTCGATACTGTTATCTGACTTTTCACGCTTATGGTCAAAGATCGATAGTCCTGAGATAAATCGACTGAGACGATTTCCTGGCACACGATCGGGAATACAGCCGCAGACTGAATACGGTACGCCGAAACGGTCCTTCCACGCTTTGGCTGTGATGTCATATGCAATCGAGAGTGAAGTCGCCTCTACGTTATCATCATGATTGGGAGTGCGCTGGAGGTAGGTTTGAGTGTCAAGTCTGTATTGATCACCCTTTAATTGGTGTGTGTGCCATGCAAGATCCTGCAAGTCATACGGTTGAGTAAATGGGACCCAGAGTATTGTTGGTGCTTACAATATCCTGAGACAGTAAATTAGTTCTCTCTTTCGTATCATAATTGTCGACATACCAAGGTGGGTACCAGGAACAAGGCCGGATTTTGACTCATGAGGTCCAAAAAGGCATGGTATCTCGCAATACACCTCACCAATGGAGC